TAGTAAATGATCAGAACTGAGAATTACCATTTTTGGTGTAGGCCTTGGAGACAGTATGGTCATAAGTACCAATATCTACAGTTTCTGCTTGCTGGTGGAACAAAAATTTAAGTCATTTTGTCAGCTTTGGCTCAAAACAAAGAAATGGCAATAATCATGGGCTCGGGTAATAAGCAGAATCGCTTGAATTTGGAATCCAACAAAGTCCTAGAATCCTCATTCCATGCCCAAGATGAAGGATACCCTATTCCAAGGAAAGTGGTGTAAAAAGAAGACAAATATCTCTTTGTACCACCCACAACTACATCACTGTCTGCCACCACAGGCCCCGCTCTTTGTCTACATATCCAAGTCCTTAATCATGGCTTGTCTTCTATCCTTCATTAATATCATTTTTCTAGTTTATTTTCATTCCTTTTCAATTTTTACTTGGAATGATGAACTGGGATTTAACATCTTTGGTTGAGTTTGGATTTAAGGGTTTTTGATGCTGATTCTCTGGTTGAAATATTTTGTCTGTCCAATTTTGACTAAAGATGGGCAAACTTCGGTGCTTATTTCATAATTGGAAATTCTTAGATCCTAATTGTTATATTCTAGTATTTCGTAATGGGTTGCCTAGTTTTAAATACTTAGTGTTGGTATCCTTCCCGACTAAGACATTGAACAAGGTGAATGCAACTGCTAGCAGAAGAACTACTATCAGGAGATCTAGAGCTCCTAGGCAAGCAAAAGAGAGACTGAAAGCGATTCCGACATGTCTTCGCTTGTGAGCGCTTAGAGACTCTCTTCCATCAATAGGTACTATGAATCTTTCATCTCTTCCCCTCCCGCGATAACGTGTCTAAGGATGCTACTTCGGGCAGGCGTGATTTCTCCAGAACTAAACATTGAAATGGGAAAGGTCATTCCACCATGATGATTCAAGGTGGTATGGGATTCCAGGTAGAAAGGCCTTGCCATTCCAGGTGATTAGAATAACCAGATTGGGACTTTCTGTTGATGTAGCAAATAATTCCATAATAATATAATAAAGAGAAATAAAAGGAGCTAACAAGTGGCAACCATACAGGTGAGTTCTCATCATTCAACGATTGCATCAGTTGCCTTTTGAATGTCTCCAGCTGTCAAAAGAGCAGAAGTTCAATCATCCACCAAATGTACCCCCAAAAAAAACCCAAGGACTAAAAACCAGAAGTAGAGAGAGAGAGAGAGAAGCAGAGTAAAATAGCAGGATTCAACAATTACCCTGCTGCTATTTTTAAGGCAAAGATTGTAGTCTTGGAATTGGTGTTCACGAGAAACCAACTCAAATTTGAACTGTATAATTTTAAGCCCCAATTCACTATTACATAAAAAATCTAGAGAATACACCAAACACTATTACACAAATCCTAATTAGAAATTTCCAGAAGAGTTTGCTAATTCACATTCACATTATGAAAAGAAGTAAAATAAATTCTACAAAATCACAAAGCCATAACCGGTGTTGATTACAACATTAGGTTATCACTATACTGTAATGATATACAAAGATTTCTTGATTTATTTAAGTAAATTCAAGGTTCAATCCAATGCCACAAGCATATAATAAATGTTGTCAAGGAAATTCTGAAAGAAAGAAAGCAATTTTAACACATCATACAGCAAGGACAGATATTCAACTTCTTTTCTCAAGAAAATAAAATTTAAAAAATCCAATGTTGTGCTAAAGCAAATACTTCGCATTGCGCCTAACTAAAATTGAAGATTGCTTCAGCAGACATGATATAAGAGTATAAACACGGAATTATTACCTTAGCCAAATCACGACTCAGTTTCTTCGTGGTCAAAGCCAAGGAATCTCTCTCCTTTAATAGCTTCATCTACAATTCAAGTACCAGAAAAAGGGGATAATAAATGATTCAAAAACCTCAAAAATTAAAATTCCCATTTGCCTGAGATTGAAAATACATTATCTTCACGTGTGCTTTTCAACCGTAGTTCAGCTTCCTCGTACGCTTGTTCGACCTGGGATACCTTGTCCTGGAGCTCCACAATAACCCGGTCCTTTTCATGGAGTTNTAGTTCAGCTTCCTCGTACGCTTGTTCGACCTGGGATACCTTGTCCTGGAGCTCCACAATAACCCGGTCCTTTTCATGGAGTTGCTGCCGGAGCCTTCCGGTCTCAGACTCTAACATCGTCACGCGCGACGCGATTGCCATGGACGTGATCTTACGAGCCAGATCCAACTGGTCATATGGATCCTCGGGTATCACCGATAGTATCTCGTACGGTAAGTCGAATTCTGAGCCTACCCGGCTGCTGTCTTCGCTGCTTTGCGACATCTAGAAAACAACCCTAATTTTGAAAAATTGAATTTTGGGAACTTGAGTAGAGCTAAGGATTTATGAGGTCGGAGAAAACGATGCAAGGATAATTAAATGCAATTAATGGAATCTTGAAACAGTTGTTTTCTAGGAATTATAGTTGAATTTAGGTAGGAGATTGTAAAGGAAATGAGTTAAATCTGGGTTTGAATGTTTGGGTTTCCCTCCAGAAAAATTGATCGAGTAGTTGCAACTTTTTGAGTTAATTGTTCCAATGATCACTGAACTTATGTTCATATTTTTTATTGATCACTGAAATTTAAAATATCGAGTTTTGACCATTAAATTTAGGTTAATGTCTGTAATTGCTCACTAAATTTAGGTCTATTTCTTTTATTGCTTATTGAAGTTTAAAATGTCGAGTTTTGATCACTGAACTTTGAAAAATATCGAGTTTTGATCACTGAACTTAGGTTCATGCCTTCAATTACTCACTAAAATTTAAAATGTCGAGTTTTGACCACTAAATTTTGAAATATGTCGTACGTTACTCACTAGCATAACTGTTAAATTTTGAAAAACATCAAATTTATAGTGAGTAATATACAATATTTTTCAAAGTTCAGTGGTCAAAACTCAGCATTTTAAATTTCAATGAGCAATCGAAGACATAGACCTAAGTTCAGTGACCAAAACTCGACATTTTAAACTTTAGTGATCAATCAAAGACATAGACCTAAATTCAGTGACCATTGGAACAATTAACTCCAACTTTTTCCCCATTTAACCTTTTTGAGTATACACTGTTGTATACATCAAGCCTCCGTTTGATTCTCATTCTCCTTTTCGTTATTTTTCTCTCTCTTATTTTCAACCACATAATTTTTAATAAAATAATATTACATGTAAATAAAAAAAATTATTCTTTTTCAACCACACATTTAAAAAAATATATTATTTCAACCATTAAAATTTAGAAAGAATGGGGGTCAAATGGGGCCAAGTTTGTCGGCTCCCTCAATGCGAAAGATTCACACTGAATATTTTATTTGTAGGGCCTCTCATGTGAAGGGGCTATACATAACCCAACTTTTTTCAGTAGCACAACCCCATTATATACATAGTGTGTTCTGTGCAATCAAAAGTTTTCATCAATTTTAGTAATTGGTTTTTGCGCATGTACAAAATTATTTAAAATCATTTTCAATCTTATATTCTTACAATAAAATATTTTGTACATAAATTCGAACTTTTCTAAGTACTCCTTTAACCACACATTCTCTAAAAGTTCACTATTATGAAATTTGTTTTCATAAAAAAAGGGCATCGAACATGGGTTTAGAAAGAATGGGTAAATTTTATTTGTGATATTTATACTTTGGCTAAATTTTAATCAGATAATTGTACTAAAATTTTATTCCATAAGCTAATTATACTTTTAATTAAGTGTGTGTTTGGCCTCTATTCTTGTCAAATTTTCTCAACTTTTTTCAAAAAGTGTGGGCCCCATGCAGCATATAAGGAAGGTGTCCCTGCAAAAAACCGAGACATCTTGGTGTGTGTCAGTCATTTGAATTATGGAAATTTGTGGAAAATCATTTCCGCCCTTCAATTGAAATTTTATTCCTTCCCTTTCCTCCCTTCTATTGGAATTTTATTCTTTTCATTCAATTGAGGCGAAATAGTCATCAAACACAAGACGATTTTTCATCCTGTATCATCTCTGACAAAAGACTGAGTGATTGTAATATTTTATCAATATAAATAATGTAGCAAAATGAGATATGAAGAAATAAATTGAAAAAGAATGGGGATCAAATGGTGGCTTGGTCAAAAAATGAGTTTAAAATGAGTTTCAAACGGGGCTAATTCAATCATACATGACTTGAACTGAAGAAAATTGGTAGCATAGTACAAATCATTTTTCTTTGATCCTTTCTTTTCAATTAATGACCCTTTAATTATTTTTAAAGTACGTCTCTCACATTTAAATACGTAAACTTCATTTTTTTAAAACATCTAATGATATCAAGAACTGTTTTATGGCCATTATTCTTAAAAATAATTTTTTGAATAATGATTTTTTAGGAGTTTATGTCCTTAAAAAGTAGGAAAAAAAATTTCGCGTTTACATGCATAATATTTATTATATAAATAGGTGATTAAAAAAGAGTATGTGGAAAAAAAGAGTTTTTAAATAATGATTGTCAAATTGGACTAAGTTTTTTCAAATTTGGAAAATATTTCGCTTCATAAGTTATGCCATCATGCATTTTTATCCCAATTGCACAATTATTTGGAAATTGCTACCCTCCCTCCTATACACTTTCGTAGGTAAGTTTTCCTAAAACTGTAAAATCAAGCTCTAATTGAACACGAGAGAAAAGTGTAACTTGAATGAAGAATCCACTCTTGATCCAATTTACTTTCAAATATGGTCATAAATTGCAAATATTTTAGCTTCTAATGCAAGATTATTTCGATTGTTAGTGGCCTAATTGTTCTATTTTTCAAAAATTATAGCAGTCCCCTCTTGAAATGATCTAACTTGCCACAATTGTAAGACTTTCGGTTACTTTTAACTCTTGGTTTTGACTTTCCATTGGATTTACCCTTCTTATTTTGGTTATTATTGTTAGGATAAATATATATGTACAAATTATGGTTGACAAAATCTTTCACTCCCTCTCATATAATGTGCGGACCCTGCATGTATTTAAAAAATGGCGGCTTGTGGTCCACACCCATATTGTGAGTAGTGAGTAAAAGATTGTGTAAAAAAAAATTTGTACATATAGCATTGTCCTGTTTGTTATCCCTATTTTTGTGTCTTTCCCCTTACATATTTTCTTCTTTAGCCCTAATCTCAAGCTCTTTTGTAGCCTCTAAGTCTCTAGATTTAAGGGCATCGTTGACAATGAATGACTTGTGTTCAAGTGTTCCTGGCATTCTCAATAACGTTCCTAACATCTTCACAGGATTCAGAAAGTAAATTTAACAAGATTACAACTAGAACAAATCTCAGCCATTGATCTAAATCAATAGTTAGTGAAACACGTTCTTATTGTTACATATCTAAAAAAGATAAAAGATCACAGCTTTTTTTTCCATTCTTCATGTTTCATAGATGATCACCTCATCAAGGATAAGGTACAGGCATTATAAAACTAGAATCCAAGTCGTCCATCCGTCAAACTGAATTGTTCAAGAGGAACAGCTGCGCAAGACGCAGTTCCCTGTGTAGATTCCCTCTGATGGCAGATTAATTAAAGCTTATTGGAAATAGTAATCAAATAGAAAACAATAAGATCAGGTATCATCACTAACGGAAAAATGACTGAAATGCTCATTTTAGATACCAGCATCATATGTACAAATAAATGTATCCTAGGGTTCCATTATCTGGTACAACTTTTGACTTACATTTAGCTTGCAGAAGAGACGGGGAATAAGCAACCTTTTCTTGTATTTCCTTTCTATCCAATGATTGAACAAAAATCAGAAACTCCAATGAAACTAAGTAGAGGAAAAGAGAGTGTAAAAAGTTACACAATTGAGAAGAGAATCCATACAAGGTCTAATAATACTTCTGTAAATAGAGCATACAATTCCATGTTCAACCTTCAAACAGAGACTCTGTATTATCCAGGTAACGGCATTAGTTAACAGAAACCAAACATGCACTCGGTGAATAATCCAAGATATCCTAGACTGATAGGCAAACCGTTATATCTTTAGTACACAATATTGGACAAGACTTCACAATACTAAATAAGAAAGAAGTACAAATCTTTTTTATGGTATTGATCAGTCTCCTTCAAGACTGCTGACGAAAGATTCTGCAAAGGAACCACATGAGAGTTAGGTTAGAAGAGAAAATTCTCTGCAAGTTTCTGGTTGAGTAGCATAGCCATTTGTCTCAACAGAATAGGTAGCATTAGCATGAATATTCAAGTTGGATGTGCACAATGCCTGATTGCTCAGTTGCAATCTCAGAGTACAAGCATGTTAGCAGGTAATGGATTGTCCAAATCTTCATGTTATGGACAACAGGAGTCACGAAATGAAGATGTTCAGAAATAATGCAGTCAGGATAATGCAACGAAGCCTTTCTTCGTCTCCAAGGACTTTTACCTCTGGATACAAGTCAACAGAGAGATAATTGGGACAAGATATGATTACACATCTGTGTGGCTATGCCATTTCATTTAACTGTCCTTACACCAACAGTTTAAACACGAAAATAGTATTGAGGCTGAGAGTCTTCTTCAGAGTCATCATCTTCGTCAATAGAGTCATCTTCAACTCTGTCCCAACGTGAGTAATCAAGATAAGAGTGTCCTTTCGGTTTTGGTATCGCCTGCCAACTTGATTGTTGATTGGATGGCATTTGCCTTCTCTGAATTTAGGACGTAACATTTTCCTCTATTGAAATGGTACTTTACATTCAGTTATTCGCTTGCTTACTGTTACTGCTGCATCCATCACATATTTTTCTTGACTTTCACCATTCTCCAATTCTTTTCCACTTTGTTCTTCTTCCTCATTTTCAACCAATTCCAATTCGTCCTCCTCTTCTAGTTCCGCTTCATCTTCGGGTATAGCAAGTGACTTTCCTTGAACAAAACATACCATTTATAAGAAAGAGCACCAGCATTTGCAAATAAGAAGCGAAGAAAACTGAATATTGAAGAATCATCTTTTCCACAATTATATTGCACGTTATTAACTTCAAGTCAATTTCATGTGATCTACAAAGGAAACTATATAGAAGGAATAAAAATTTCTCTATCGAAGTATTTATGCTATTGCAAGATATACAAGCAAGTTAAATTCTTAACCAGCATTTAATTTCTCCAGCACCCCCAAAAATGATAATTATAGAAGAATCTCCACGAACAGAAATGTTCTCGAATTTGCATTTTAGAGAGAGACAAAATGGAAATAGCCTTCAAGAACATAAATGTTCAACACCAAACTTGATAATGCTGAAATACAGAAGCAAATATCTATCCTTGTGCGGTTGAAAATTGATTTGTGAATATTTCACTTGTTTTTTGACTTCTAATTGCATCTAATTGACCCCTAACATTTTCAAATCTTCATCGTGTGATCCGACATAACTTTTGAGTATTTTAACTTTAGTCCCCAACCTTTGGATCTTGCCCTCCCTTTTGTCAATTTTTGCTTCTTTATTTCAATTCCACTTTCATTTATTGAGTTTCACCTAAAAAACGAAATATACAATAAATTAGGCAATAGTCGTTCAAAAGAACTACTAAATGTTTATATTAAATCCAAATAAGTGTATTTTTATACTTCTCGTACCACCATCGAAAACTCATAATTTTTGCAAAATTATTTGCTGAATCTTATGGAATACAAATGTGAATGATTGCAGAGAAACTTTGAGTTGGAAAAATTGGATATTTGTGTTTAGATACTTACCAATTAACAAAATTTATATATCACAATAAAATAATTCAACAATTATATGAGTATATGAGAAGAAGAGATAGAAATGCAAGCTTTAGAAGTCACGTCGAAGACCCTGTCCTAAAATCGCGTTGTCTCACTTTCATGCGGGTACTTTCAGTACTACACGGCTCCAAAATAAAACTCATATGACTCATAGTCGGTTCTCCTTCTATGGGTACAATCATAGTTAAAAAAGTGAATGAATCCTTATCAAGTTGCCAAAACTATAGAAAATAATATATAAGTATAGAGAGTATTATTATGAAATTATCTTTTCCATGTTATGTTTAACTACATGAAAATCACTCCATTTTATAGGGAGAAATTCAATCCCAAAAAAAGTGTTTTGTAGGGTTATGATTTAATTCAAAATTTCAATATTAGAGAAATTCGTACCCACAAAACATTGTGTTTTTTCCCGACAAAAAATTTGACAAGAAAAATTCCTAACAAAAATACTAGACTTGTTTGTAGGAAATAATTAAGGAGAATTTTTTTTTTCCCGCTTTAGAGTTAACTTTTTTTTTTTTCTTTTAAAAATAAGGGGGACTCAGAGAGACAGAGACGGTAGGAAGAGTCAAAAACAGTAACCCTAAATCACTCCAACTTAAATCGATCCTCAATTCCCCTCCAATCTCTTCCATTGCAATCCAAACCCTGCCTCATAAATTACTTCCAAGTTCCATCTCTCAGTCTCAACGCTACAATTTACAGCCTCTATGCCTGAAATCGCCGCCGCCTCTATGAGTCTACGAATAGCCAGTTTCCATCCTCGCTCCGGTGCCAAAGCCTGACCGTTCCATGTCCAGACTCCACAACTCATCGGATTCAGGATTTTTTTTTTTTTTTTTTTTTACTTAATCTGCTTAATCTTAGCGGCTATTTGGAGGTGATTTTAAGGGGGGAAACTAATTTTTATATTGTTATTCACCTTTTCCAGCCATGAGTACAATGGCTGAGAGTCGATTACGATGTCTCTGTCAAGTACTTGTCGGAAAAGCAGCTGCTTCCGACGTGTCAGTCCCTCGGCGAAGTCTATCTCCGCCTTCAGCACTACAGGGACGCCCTTATTTATCAAGTATGCGCTTTACTATTTGGAATATTATTGCCTGTATTGTGATTCTTTCTAGTTTGGAATTTGGAGACAATGAAAAGCAGCCCGTTCGATTCTATATCGGGGGGGGCAAGGTCTGATTACAAGTGGGAGTTAATTGGTATCTTTCTTGAAAAACTACTTACTAAATTGGATTTAATTGTAGGGGCATTTCTATTTAATTATCCTAAATTTTTAATTGGGATTTTCTCCAATTTGCCTCACTAGAAGTTGATGGTTTCGAGTACATGTCTGTGATCTGTCAAATTCAAATTTTGATGTATACCATTGGTGATTTATACGATATTGTGACCCAAGTTAGTTTATTTTGAATTTCTGTTGACCTAAAAAGAACAAATTGAGGAAGCATGTATTGGGTAACAAATTTTCTCATTTTCTACTCAACAAACTTCCTTCCTCTATGCTTTGTCTCAACCTAATTCCTAATCTATATGAAGTTACACTACTGCAAAGAAATCTCTCTATGTTATTTTAACTGTTCAGTTTCTGCACTTCAATATTACCCTGTTGAATTTCCATTGTTTAAACCTGCAGAAAAAGCATTTAGAGCTTGCTAAGGATGCAGATGACCTCATTGAGCAACAAAGAGCCAGCACTCAGCTTGGTCGAACTTACCATGATATGTTTTTATCTAATGGTGAGCACAACTCAGTTAGGAATGCAAAAAAGTATTGGAGATGTTTTGGATTCTGTTGGTAATTGGAGAAGTGCTCTAAATGCATTCAAAGAAGGGTACAGGCAAGTAGCTTCTCTAGTAACTTATAAATATGCCTATGTTATTTATGTAGACAGCCACGTTAAAATAAGTATAATTGTAAGATTTTCCGGTTGGGACTGTATATATGACATCGAGGTCAAGTGATAAATTAACCGTGAGGGAGGGAGCTTAAAACCTTCTATTAAGAGGTTTCATTTTGGTTCTATGCAATCTTATGCTCACAAACATATTTGACTTGTATAGAAAAAGAATATAAGAGGGGAGGCAAGTGTCTTCGACCTGGAAAAGCAGTGCCTCTAGCTTGTGCCTGCATTGCTCCATGATTTATATCAAAACTAGTCTTCAATCCTTTTCTTGAATAATTTTCTGATTTGTGTCGAAATAAAAATGAAAATCATTAAAGGTGAATTTTGCTGTTTTTTCTTCTTTGTTAATATATTCTATATATTGTTAAAGAGAGAATACGTTGGAAAAGAACTTGTATATAACGATTTACACGTTTTCTTCAATCGAGAGTGACATTGATTGTTTTGATGGGCTCAGAACATTTTAAATTAAACACTAATTGATATGTATATGCAAAAATGTTTTTCTGAGATGGACCTATTAGCATAGGCTATGAATTGCTAAACATGCTTGAACTTTAATAGCTTGCTCTTGTTCTCTTATAAAACTGGAAAGACATATTATGCTTCAGTAATTATTTAATTTTTTTAAATTTCTTGCGTGTTACCTGGCATTCCTAAGCTTGCAATTGGAATCTAGAATTGGAGAAACCTGTTTGACTTCTATTGTGTAATTTTTTAAATTTCGTGTGTGTTATGTGTATCTCTCTATGCCTTGGTTGAAGTAGAAACTTTTGCATTTTAAGTAATTGGGCAAGTATAAACAGGTAATGTGTATATCATGTAATAGGTGCAGCAAAAGTGAAACCGTTTGAAGAACTGAAGGAAATGATAGGACATTGGATGATGAAATAAATGAGTTTAAGGTGAGTTTTTTTTTTTTTTTTAAAGTTAATTTTCTTACTATATGAAATCCATTTACGTGTTCGATTTTTATTATTGGATTTGCAGGGATAGGTGCAGGATACGTGCCAAGGACTCTAGATCTTCCTACTCAAGGGACGTGTAAACAAATTAGGACCTCTCGGATCGTGCGTATTATTCGAGAGAACATTAGAGTTTTATATAATTAACTGAGCAGACGAGCTACAAGTTTTGGAGTACATAGTTGTTAGTTCATGATATAAGAGCCACATTAGATGTATTCATAATTAGTGAATGATTTTTATTTATGTTTTGATGATATGTTTCGGATTCAATGTTACAATGACTGACATTACATATTTTAATTAATATAGTCTTTTTGCATCTTTATATTATTTTGAATATCGTTAAAAAATTACCATGTAAAAATAATTTAATTTCTTTTATAATAGTTTGCAAACATGCTTTCCCTATAAAAAAAATTATTTGCAGGGAAAAATAGGGTTTAGCTTACAAAATAGTCTATACCATGTTACCACAAATTTCTAATTGTTGGGAAATTATTTCGTAGGCAAAATTAACTTTAGCAGACAAATTATTATGTTGGGAAAAAACTTACGCAACGTATAGTATTCATCTCCAAAGGGTCATAGGGAAAAGCTTTAGCAGACAAATTTCAAAAATTGTGGGCTAAACTCTATCCCCTCGATGTTTGCTATTCCCTTGATGTTTGTCCCACAAATATCCCTACAAAATTTTTTTGTCTGCAAATAAAAACTTTTCCCTACAAAATAAATTTTGTAGGGAAAAGATAAAATTCTTGTAGTGATTCAAGGTTAGACCCTTTCTAACATTACATTATTATTAGCACTATCCTTATAGGGATGAACACAAATAAAATAGTGTTATTACATGTCACACAATGCGGGTTGTTTCTACCACATTGAACCTTATTTGTAAAATCTCCAATCACAAAGGTTGAGTTACTCCCGAATATGACTCCTTTATAGGCTTAAGCCCATCCCCCTCGATGATTTATGTATATCCATCTTGGACTACAAGTTATTTATGTCCCTCTTGGACAATAATATGGTACTATCAATTTGCAAAGCTCTTGTTCTTTGCATGTATTTCTACACATCTGCAAAATCTTATAAGAAATTTTCAAAATATGATCAAATAAATGCATGAAATTTTTAATATTTTCTTTAATAACACGTTTGAGTATATGCATCCATTGAACTCTTGCATTTCACCTGCAAATAGTTAAATATAACTTTTAACACATTTCAAGAGTCAGTTTACAAAAAATAATAACATATAAGATGTTTTATGTGAAATTTTAAGCATCCTCACATTTCAAATATATTCAGTTTGTGGAAATTAATTTTCTTAGCCATAGTTTTCCACCATGTCATCTATATGAATATGATATGAACATAGGAAACACATGCACTTTATCCTACCAAAATGTCCTACATAAACATGTACTAGCAAAATATTGTTGCCAATCTTCTTACGTTTCCAAGATATGCTAGGAACTTAGGGATGTGCTAAAAAAATTTCTTAAGTACACACTAATACTAACAAAATGATTACTTTGGGATCCAAATGTAATTATAAAGAAAATTGGTTAACTATATAATATGACCAACCGTTCAGATGTGAGAGAGAGAGAGAGAGAGAGAGAGAGAGAGAGAGTGTGTGTGTGTGTAATAATAAAGTCCATTTGATAACCCCCATATTCAAGCCATCTATAATGTGCTTTATTGAAATCTATAAATTGTTATGTTTTCTCTTTTGACAGGATTAAACATGACGCACATGTTTATTCTAGTATCTACATAATTGACTAAATAATTGATTATATAAAGAATACCTATGAAAAATAATTGTCCAATTTTGCATGGAAATATATACACTCCGTTGGTTATAAAGTATAAATCACCATTACATAAATTAGACAGAAATATATAAAGTCGTATTTAACAATACTAATAACATTATAATTTAAATAAAACCTAATGATATTATAATATAAAAATCCCCAAAATTAGACCAATGGGCTAAGCTAAGAAACATACAAAGCCTAGTAATAGAAAGTACATCGAATCATGAATAAAATAAACATTACCAACAAATCAAATTCACATTTTGCCTCTTAGATTTAAGATATTTGCACTATATCTTGGAGAGAAAAAAAACATGCAATATGGAGAATTTCGCGAACTAACTTTAAAGTCTTAATTGACAATTAAATCTTCATTGTACAAATTTAAATTGTCACTTAAAATTTATTTGTTATCTTTTAACTTTTTATCTATGCAAACATGCCCCTTTTTATTTTATTTTATTATTATTTTGGAAAATAAAGTTATCTTTCCATGTCTAAATAGGGGTTAATAAAATCATTTTAGTTGTCAATTACCTATTTGACTCAAAAGAACAAAAGCTCATATTAAGCATACATCAAAACAAAAGTAACAATTTTTCCAATTCATCCATGAGCCTATTTTCTTTCGACATTTTTACAAGCCACGTTCAGAAAGTTAAATTTTCATGTGTCTAAAATAGTTTAATCTCCTATTTCCATCTCAATACATACACATCACAAATTTTATTACACAATAGAAATATATGTATCATATCTTTAAATTTCATTTTAATTTTAAAATATAACACCTAAATAGGTAGCGTGCTTTTTCCAAACAAAATATTCAGACACACCAAATCACATTTTCTGTGATTACAAGTAATCAAATAAGGTCTTAAAAGATATCATAAAAAGAACATACCAATATTTTACATGTGTCAAAAGTCCTTAACCTTTCTAGCTTAATTTCTTAAGAAATCATGATGCACATTTCTTGTTTTTTAGGATTCATGTTTCTCAGTTCTACACATGCTTCATGGTCAAACGTCACACTCGTAAAATCAATCACAATCTTATATTTATCAGTATGTACTCATTTAGGTGAGTATTAATTTATACACATACACGTGCGTGCAATTATTCAATATCTCCAAGTAAATTGAAATTATCTTACAAATTAGGGTAGTTAGAACAAAATATTCTTACCTTTCAATGTTATTGTACAAAATGTTCTCACCTTTTGTTTTTTGGCATTTTAACCATTATCTTCACATTTTATTGCGAAAATCATCATTTTCATCAAATTTCTCGTGTAAAATGACCAATATACCCTATATTTAAATCAAACGATAAAAAAGAAAAGAAAAGTTAAAGAATAAATTGCAATCATACTCCCAATCTTTTTTAGCCCCCTTTTTTAGCCCCCATTTGGCCCTCATTAATTTTCATTCCATTACATTTTATTTTTCTCTCTCCTATTTTCAACCACACAATCTTCCATAAAATAATATTACACGTAAATAAAAAAAATTTCTTTCTTTTTCAACCACTCATTTTAAAAAAAATATTAATCTTCCAATTTTTATTATCACAAAATGGGGGCCAAACGGGGGCTTAAAAAGTGCAAATGAGTTCACATAAATTATTAAAATGGTAATTAGCAAAAAAATCCATACCTTTCATCATTATTGAGCAAAACGTCCATACCTTTATTTTTTGATATTTTCATCCTTATTTTTATATTTAAAGATGAGGGTATATTTGTCATTTTACAACTTTTAATTGAGAAAATGGATAAAAATGGTGATTTTTGCAATGAAATATAAAAATAAGGATGAAAATGTCAAAAAATAAAGGTATGGACGTTTTGCGCAATAATGATGAAAGGTATGGACATTTTTTGCTAATTACCATTTTAAGAATTTATGTGAACTCATTTGCACTTTTTAAAAAAATTTGGGAGTATGATTACAATTTATTCTTTAACTTTTCTTTTCTTTTTTATCATTTTATTTAAATATGGGGTATATTGATCATTTTACATGAGAAATTTGATGAAAATGATGATTTTCGCAATAAAATGTGAAGGCAAGAGTAAAAGTACAAAAAAATGAAAGGTATGGATGTTTTACATAATAACATTGAAAGGTAAAGACGCTTTGTGCTAATTATCTTACAAATTAATATGCATGCAAAAGCGAAGACAAAAGGGAGAAAATGATAATTAATCGGAGAAATAATTTTATTAAACCTAAAAAAAACAATGAAATTTCATGTCCCTTTCATAATGTAGAAGTTTTAACCCCTACCATAATGAAAATTAATTCATCAAAAGAGGTTACATCTAGCCCTTGTTTGGGTCCATTTTTTCATCAAAATACATTTTTCAACAGTGATTTGACACCATTTCAACCACATATTTTTCTATAAAAATAATATTACACGCAAATTCAAAACTATTCTTTATTTTTTAACCACATATTTTCCATCACAACAATATTTCAAAATGCAATTTTTTAAGAAAAATTGGGCTCAAACAACCCCCCTAATGTAATGATATTTTAATTTTATATTAAATCTGAAATTGAATATAAACCTGAAATTTTTAAAAAAAAATTATTAATTTTGAAATTTAAAACTTATTAATATGTATGTTACAACAATATCTTGTCATACTACCCACAACTAGTACATTTAAAAGATAAGTTACACTCATCAATTAAGATTTTCAACTTTCTACTAAAATTGAAAATCAAAAATCAAAACTGAAATTTTGAGAAGGTTTTAATTTTGAAAGACTTCAACTTCCTTTACACGTTACACATGGGACGTAAATAAAATCATGCAGATTAGTTATGAAATTATACTCTTTTAAAATATTAATTCAGCACATTTTTCACAAATTATAGATATTCTTCCATCTAATGTTATTTATCATCCCTTACATCCAAACAAGGTTGAGAAAAAATTCCAATTTGTTTCACCATAGGTTTAAATTTCAGTCAATCACATATTCTTTCACTAGATATCCAAAGGTCAAGAAAAAGACAGAAATAATGCACAACTCGTTCTAGGACCAATCAGAAAATATTTCCAGAAATAGAAACATGAGGCAAAAGCAAAAAAAGGCACCACACAGAGGAGAGAGCCGGGCGAAAATTCCGGTACCATCTCTCCTCGAAACCAAAATAAATATTTCATTAAGTTTTTGACCTGTCATGTGAGCGCACCCGTCATGGCAAATGTCAACGAGACAAACCTAACTGCCATTCTTTTTCTTACATATCGTCTCCCTTTGCTTCATTTTTTCCACAATACTTGTATCTTGTTTTCCAAATGAGCATAAAACGAATTGTAAATACAGAGCTATTTAACAATTTAGAACATTGTGTCCATGTAGACAGATAATTTTTATCCTTTTACGTGCATCATCAAACATCCTCATATCATTTCGGCCAGGAGCATCGACATGAATTGGTGCCCCTATTTGTGGCTAGAAAGCAAAATATATACCATAAAGAGAGCGTGAGCTGCAACGACTTGTCAGCAGAAATCCATTTCTTAACCTTTACACCGTTGTTGAAGATAATGACCACAATATTGTAAGGATAGATATTAGAATATAATACATGTATGCTACATCACATCTCACGTGTTTACACAAAATAACAAGTATCCAAAAATAGTAAACATTTTAAAGATTATGCATATCTCTCTAAACACATAATCACCAACACGACTTTAGATTGTTGAAAAAATTGGGTGATTTGTGTTTAGATACTTACTAATTAACATAATCAATTTATATAGCACAATAAAATAATTCAACAATTATATGAGTATATGAGAAGAAGAGTAATCACGTCGTAAATGTTGTCCTAAAGTCGTGTTGCCTTCCTTTCGTGCGAATATTTTTGACACTACATGACGCCAAGATGAAACCCATGACTTACATGCGTGTTTTCCTTCTATGGATACGATCATAGGGAGATAAACGAACGAACCATTTTCAAGTTGCCAAAACTATAGAAAATAATATATAAGTATAGAAAGTATTGTTATGAAATTATCTTTTCCATGTGATGTTTAACTACATGAAAATCACTCCCTTTTATAGGGAGAAATTCAATCCCCATATTCATGAAAATAAATCTTATTTAAATATAAGTTACAATCTAAATTTTGAGTTTCAAATTTGTACTAAAATTTAAATTGAAAACTGAAATTCAAATTACTTTTAATTTTGAAATTTAAAACTTATTAAAACTTAAAGTTACAACACTTTGTATGGAAAGATGACGAATGCAAAGAGTGTTTGACTCGTGCAAGATGTATGTATATGGTTTGAGATTACCAAAGTTCTCATAGTTACTCATTTAATTCTTGCCAGAAAACATGACATTTGCAACCAATGAAGCAGGACGCTTGTCCATTACAATTACCTCCAGCCAAATGGCAGAAATAACTATGATGTCCTCGAAAATGACTTGCTCATTTGAAGAAATGCCCATTATAAAAGACCCACAAGACACACAGCATATCATTATCAGCCAAAATTTATGAAACCTCACCATTTAACCTTTGATTTTCAGAATACATGCACCAGATATGTTGGCCATCATAAACTTCGTCTTACTATTGCTTGTAATTTTGTCTGCTATTTTTCTTTCCTACAGAAACTTCGATGGAAAAAGAAAGAAAAGATTACTGCATATAAACTTGCCACTTTTTGGTATGATGCCATTGCTAATTTTCAATATTCACAGAATTCACGACTATATCACCGAGCTTCTTGAGAGCTCCACCACTGTTTGGTTTAAAGGCCCACGGTTTGGCAACATGGACATGTTGGTGACTTGTGATCCAGCTAATGTTCGTTACGTATTGAGCAAAAACTTTCAAAAATTCACAAAAGGTCCTGAATTTAAGTAGATATTAGATAGTTTAGGAAATGGGATATGTTGGAAAAATACACTGATAATTGTAAATATTATACTCACAATAAACATATCGTTTATTTGCATGAAATCGAAACGTATTCCAACTTACTGAAATTGGATTTAATAAGGAAAAATGAGAATTTACCGATTCCAAAGAATATGAATGTGGAACCTTCTCTTTCGATTCTTGAACGATTAAACCTTGCAATATAAATAAATAAATTAGATTAATCATTTTCTGAAATCAAATCATAATAAAAGGAAATCAGAAAATGAAGATGAAGATGCAAGTGATGAATTTTTGGTCGAGGTAAGTGTTGAACACTTTGTCCTTAAGATGAATTTGCCTCGCATCGCTGCAACGGTTTTCCGGCAATCATCTCCCAAGATACAACAATCACGTCGAGCCATAGGAGCACTCCAAATGACTTCGACCAACGAACTCGAATGAAATTCCCTCTCTACCATTACTATGACCGTGACTTTGATGCAAATATTTTATGCAAAACCAAAATGTAAATTGGAATGAAATGATATGGTATCTATGACTTTATTTGAATGAATAAAATTCAAACACATGGGGTCTATATATATAGCAATTGGAAAGGTGTGTCAAAAGACACAACTATACCAAGAAACACATCTCTTGGAATTCATAATTATTGAATATTAATCATACCCATACCAAGAGTCATGATCTTTCATACGAAAAGTCACATTTTTCCTCCATATATTTCTAGAATATTCCACAATATTCTATATGATTTTTTCAGTAATTTTCAGTATTTAAGCGGTTTACATTTGGCTTAATTTCTCATTCACCAAATAACGAATTCTACTTAAATAATCATTTAAAATTGGTCACAACCAATTTCCGAAAAAAATTCCAACAATCCCCCACATGAATGAAAATTAATGCAAATGTCTATGCAGACACTGGTAGAGAGAGCGGAAAAACACTACATCAGGTGAGGTAGCTTCTGGCTTTGAAACACTCTTAGTGAAATACCATCGGATTTACTAGCTAATTGGTGAACGTGATGTTCTTGAACCATCAGCTGTTGGTGTAAACCAAGACAACAGTACTCACACAATGTCTCCCATAAACTGTTCATGGTTCTCATAACTTGGTTCATTTTAGCCCTGAACACATCTTGGTTCTGAAAGTGTTTAGAGAATTCAAGCCTTAAATAATTCTCATTGAAGCGGCCCCCTTCACACTTACATAGGTGATCTCCTATTAAGAGTATTCTGCCTTACTCTACTTGATTTAATCAAGATATATGAATCTTTAAAAGTTTACCTTAACCTCCAACCACTCTGCAGAAAGAACTTTGGTATCATAGGAATGAGTTAGAAAATTAGTTTCCTAAGTGCTTCATGAAATCCTCATAACTTAGTTGTCTTTTTGAACCAAGATCTTGAGATCTCCAGTCAACAGGTAGGGTTACCATCATAAGGACTCTTACTCAATAGGCTTAATCTCGTTCCCTTCGATATGCAGTATACTTGATCTCTTGGTAAACATATATAAATGGATCCACAAGTTTACACAAATGAGATCAACTGCTTATGGTATTATGCCTACGACTTACACATCTAGACTGACCATTACATGTGGCTTAGTATCTTTTCAAATTTAGCTAGCCAACGATCTAATCATTTGATTGATATACATTGTCACCACCAAGAAATCATCTCATGAAGCTACATGCTTCTTATTAGCTTTATCAATTCCAAATAATGTTGGAGGACTTCTATCAAATCCTTACACTAGTCTATCATATTTAATAGTGGATTTCGTACATGGGTCTTCAATCTCGTCATTAAAGCATTACAATGCATTTGAACTTTATGAATATTCTTAAATATTTCAATTGTTCTTCTATCTCCAAACAATCGTCATGATCGGCTTTCATCCCATTTCATCCACTTTAAGGCTTTCATCCCTTTTCATCCATAGACTTAGTGTATACCATCGCATCACAATATCTTTCTAATACTGCAGGATATCTTGTGAAATATAATCCATAGGTCATGGTATATTTTAGATACCGAAGGACCCATGTCATTGCCAACCAATAATCATGGCCTGGATTACTCGTGAATCTTCAAGTTTATTTACAGTAAAAACATTATCCGATCGAGTGCATTTCGTAATATACAATAGATTGCTAATTGCTTGTGAATATATCAGTTGTGACACGCTTTCATCCTTATTTGGACCAAGTGTAGAGATAACCTCATATATATCCGATTTGTGCATGAGGAACGATATACACTACTATTATTGGCGTATCCAATAAATATACAATCAATCGTTTTGTGACCAATCTTTATTTGTTTGGACTTAAGAACCTCGACATTTGCCAAACACCCCCACACTTTTAAATGTTGGTAGGAAGGAGGATGATATTTCCATAACTCATATGGTGCCTCTTCCATTTTCTTGAGAGATACAGAAAAGTGTAACTTTAAACTAAGTTACCCCCACAATTCTTAAATTAGGGTTATATATCCAAGTAGTAGCGTTGTACCCACACGAGTTGAACTTTCCACATAAGTTCTCAAGCATTTATGATAACCCTCACATTTTTGGATTATTTTTGAACTTAGAGTTTATCAACTCTTTCATAGTTTAATTCATTTATCACTTAAATAATATCCGTATCGGATGCTTGGTAAAAGTCTAAATACTTTCAAAATAGTGGTCATTGCTTCACATGAATAAAAAACCATTTTCCATTCGAAATTGTACTTCAATGAACCATATTAATTTGATCGTCCAAATTAAATTGAGGTCATCTTTAAGGTCGTCATAAATCAACTTAATTGTTTCCACTATTGAAGTCAAATTCAACAATGAAGAAGAATAAGCATCTTCAACAATGTGAAACTTTCACATTTGTGACATTTCACAAATAATATTATTCACATCAAATAATAAGGTACATTTCACATTATTCACCATATTCACATTTGAAAGAATAAATCAACCATGGATTGACTAGTTGTGCTTTCAAAGTCGCAACCTTACAAAAGGACATACCTCTTGAAATTAATCCTAAAATATTTCATAATATTCTTCACAATTTTTGCATAACATAGTTTTTATCCTTTACAAATGAATGTCATTTGTCAATCATTATTTTTATGAATATCTAGCACCACTGCCAACTATAGACACAATTTGTGCTCTATAAACTATTTTCATATTCCAATAATTGGGCAAGCAATTTTCACTTTAAAATAATTAGGACAAAACCACATTTTGTCGTACTCTTATGCAACTATAATTTTGCATAAGTCATCTCATTTAATTTCATAAAATTAATTGAGGCTATCATCATTAATCAAGGTTTGTATAATTTTCAAACCAAAATCCATGGACATATATCGGATTTACAACTTCATACCATATATGTCACTTACCGGATTGACGCATACCGTATATGGAAGCTTACCAACTTACCGTATTTGGCAGCCTACCGTATGTGACAGCTTACCGTATTTGGCAGCTTACATACTTACCGTATTTAGCAGCTTACTGTAAATGGAAGCCTAGAGATGGCAAAAAGGCTAGAGCTCTCGGGCCGCCCATGGCTTGACCCGCAAAAAGCTCGAGCTGGCTCGGCTCGAGGCTCGGTCAAATCGAGCCCCATCTTGGGTTGTCGGTCCGAGCTCACCGTCGGCCCGTATGGCTTGCAGGCCAGCTCGCAAAAAAAATCCTCTCAAAAGTCAGCAAGTTGCTGCCTTTGTTACAAAGGCAGTCAGCTGCCTTTTAAGAGGAAAAAAGGGGAAAAAACGAGTCGGCTCGAAGCTTGGGCCAAGCCTTGATTTTTTGGCCGAGCTTTTGCTCGGCTTGGCTCAGGCCAAAAAAAGCTCGTTTTCAAAAAGCTCGAGTTGAGCCAAAGCCTTGATCTTTGGCTCATGAGCCGGCTCGGCTCGGCTCGTTGCCATCCTTATGGAAGCCTACCGTATTTGGCAGCTATAAAATGAACACACATAATTTTCCATACTCACGGAACATCAAAAGACTATTATCCACATCACAAATCTGGATTTGAATGTTTCACAGTAGCACTAGAAAAATTAGGCAACATCCTAATGCAAAAGTGGCCTCGTGATACATACCCACATGTAAGACAGATTTTAATTCTCTTACTCGTAAATCACTAATTATTTGAATCTCTCATCAGTGGACTTCCTTTGCAAATTATATATATTAAGCAATAATCATCACATGCATAAGGATAAACTACACATGGAAAGATGAAGGAAACTGAAGACGGATTTGAACAGTCATCATGACCAACTTAAATGTTCTCGTTTCACTTTTGAAACTTCCACCAATTAACTGAAAATGAAAACTGAATTCTTTATTATGAATTGACACGATCAATATCAATAAATATGGTCTTGGTAATTTCCAATAGCAAATTCATTAGAAATGGATTTAAAGCAGAAACATTTGTTATGGATTTTTAGTTCTCTTCTTCATTCCACGCACAGGTTTATTGTCTTTTGAACAACATATATCCAACATTTTTTAAACCCAATTTCAAATCTAAATTATTTTGCATGCAATTATTCCAACCATGCAAAGACTTATGCAAATATACGATTGACACATGGAGTGTAATTAGGAACAGACGGTAGCCATGCATTTTATTTACATCTTTCCATAGACTTCCAATGCAATAATTTATTTTCCATCATATTATAAATAAATGGACGGCATACTACAATAGTCGGTAGTTACAACATGATTAAGTTCACAACTTAATGATTTTTCCGGAACTCAACAGGTATCGGTTCACATGCGAAATTAGAATTGGAGGAGACAACCCGTAAGATGCATTATAATAAACTGTTTTCATCCCAAATAAATTTCATTTATTTGAATACGTAACTTATCAAATTCCCGAACGTAAAACAAAAGAATGTGCACTCAAAGACTTATGGATATAATATTTAGTTTTGCACAAGGCCCAATCAAAATTCCTCATGCACAAAACACTCATTGAGTTAAACGTCCCAGCACATTGTTCAGAGATATAACCGACCAGCTGGTCCAAATTACAACAGTTTAAAATGATGCCATGCATAGTACTAGTCGAACATGCATAAATTCTAATACGTGATACGGATATATATATTTTAATTTCTAACAGAATATTTTATGCACAACAACACAAAATTCATCTTAAGATTGTTGAAAAAATACACCGATAATTGTGCATATTATATTCACAATAAACATATCGTTTATTTGCATGAAATCAAAACGTATTCCAACTTACTGAAATTGGATTTAATAAGGAAAAATGAGAATTTACCGATTCCGAAGAATATGAATGTGGAACTTTCTCTTTTGATTCTTGAACGATCGAACCTTGCAATATAAATATATAAATTAGATTAATCATAATAAAAGGAAATCAGAAAATGAGGATGAAGATGCAAGTGATGAATTTTTGGTCGAGGTGAGTATTGGACACTTAGTCCTTAAGATGAATTTGCCTCGCATCAGTGCTAACGATTTTTCGACAATCATCTCCCAAGATACAACGATGAAGTCGAGCCATAGGAGCACTTCAAATGACTTCGACCAGCGAACTCGAACGAAATTTTCTCTCTACCATGACCATGACCGTGACTTTGATGCAACTATTTTATGCAAAACCAAAGTGTAAATTGGAATGAAATGATATGATATCTATGACTTTTCTTGAATAAATAAAATTCAAACACATGGGGTCTATATATTTAGCAGTTGAAAGGTGTGTCAAAAGACACAACTATACCAAGAAACACATCTCTTGGAATTCATAATTATTGGGTATTAATTATACCCATACCAAGAGTCATGATCTTTCATACGAAAAATCACATTTTTTCCTCCATATATTTCTAGAATATTCTACAATATTCTATACGATTTTTCCAATAATTTTCAGTATTAAGCGGTTTACATTTGGGGCCTGTTTGGGCCCGATTTTTTCATCCAAAAAATTGATTTTTTGACCGTTATTTCACTATTCCAGCCGTCATATTTGACTTCTTCTCTTACAGGTGGACCCCACTTTTCTTCTAATGGTCAAAAAATCAATTTTCAAAATCACTCCCAAACAGGTTCTTGACTTAATTTCTCATTTACCAAATAACGAATTTCACTTAAATACTCATTTAAAATTGGTCACAACCAATTTTCGAAAAAAATTCCAACAGGATATTCAACGCGAAATTAGAATCGTGGGAAAACTATAGGAGAACCATTATGTCATTAGTCAATCAACAGGGGTTTCAAAATTTTGTAGCTACAACTAGCCGAAACAAGGTGGAAGAAGGGCTCGTCCCAATTCTGGAGAATGCGGCAAAGGTGAGGAATGAAGTGGATATACAAGAATTATTTCAACGTTTTACCTTTGATTGCACTTGCATTTTGATTTTAAGCCATGATCCGGCTTCACTGCACAACGATTTGTCACATTTGTCATATAGGCATATTCTCCCAAAAACTTACTGGAAGCTTCAAAAATGGCTCCAAATTGACAAAGAGAAGAAGCTTAGTAAAGCGATGGACACCGTCAATCAATTTTTTATGCATTGCATCTCTCTAAAGCGCTTGAAAATTAATTGTGCAGACCAAACCACTCAACAAGAAAATGAGGATTTTGACTTGTTAACAAGTTTCATGAAAGCAGCAGGAGAAAAGAGTGATGCATCCGATAACATGCCTGAATATGTTGTAGATATTGGAGGGATGAAGAAGAATCAAAAAGAAAATTCACAAAAGTATGGCAACAATAGAAACAAAACCAAAAATTTGTAACAACAAATGTGAAGGTTTGAACGCGGGATCGCTGTCCTAAAGCATTATTTGCCACTTCTCCAGTGTTTATGATATGCTTAAGAGTATTCCGACAAATAGTTTGAAGGATTGTAACAAACCTTGTAAAGAATTTCACCAAAGCACAAAGTGAAATTCTTCCAAAACTTGAAAAACACGAAAATAGAATGAATATGAATGTAAATCAGATAGAATGAATATGAATGTAAATCAGGACTTGATTGTTTTTGGAACAAAGTATGGATAGTAAGATGTTTTCAATGTCTATAATGTATTTGTTTTCATAATTCATCACCTATTTATAGGCCTCAATCAATACATCACGAAAATTTGCCAAAATAAGATAAAAAGGGCAACTTTTAATTCAAAATGGCTTCCAAATTTCAAATTGAAAAATTAGCCAACTGCTATTTTTTAACACTATGCGTACACATAGTATAAACCTTGCCTGCGCATAGTAGAAGCAAATTTGATTCTGATTTTGCCAAAATACATCTTGTGTATGCACAAAATTAAGTCTGTGCATATGCATAGGCAAATAATCAAACTTTACATTTTTCAATTTTTTTTTATTCTACCAATTCCATAATTGAGCCTAACAATTTGGCCATTATTATTTCATTGATTTATCCTCCACTTGTTCAAAATCAATACGATCACATATTCAAAATGACGACACTTATGCATAAGGATTAGATATCTTTCGATTTGAATTTAACCATAGTGTAATTCAAACAAAGTAAAGTCGGAATCAGAGGTAGCATAGAAGCTTTGAACCAATTATTCCTTGTGATAATACCGGTAAGAACACGCACATAAGTATCACGTGTTCTCAAGTTCCTCAACTCGCTTAGCACTTTTATGGCCTTGCGCTCATCCTATTCAATGAACTTTTAAGAGTGAAACTCCAACTCTCTATTGAGGCGGCACCACCTTGAAGTTCATTTAGGTGAAGTTCTTCCAATATCTTTGTTACTTTTAAAGATACTTGTGTTTTAGCACTAAACTTCATTAAGAGTTTTAAGCTCAAACCTCACTTCAGTAACAACCACATTATTTAATTAGGATAGGGTCATTATGGATTTAAATAATGCTGCAACTATCCACATATCGAATGACTTGTTGTTACTGATTACGCTCAAAGATTAACGCGATGATTATAGTACAGTTTTGGGGTGTCGTATCCATAGGGAGATGGAAAATTATTTAAAGGATCAAAAGCTTAGGGTTTTTATCATGATTTGTGTGAAAACAATTTGTCGATTGGAATAATTGAAGTGAAAGTTTAATATCAATATATGAAATAGTGAAGCGCCGGAATTTCCTCGATTAAATTGGTTCAATCAATGTCAATTTTTGCACGAAAATGCTCAATTAAATGTTTTCATCCCAACACTTTAATTGGAAAATTCAACCTTCAAACCTATTCAATTCCACAATAATTCCCCAAACTTAGATTTCTTTCATAATATAATTCCACAATAATCCATTGAAATTAGATCCAAAAGCGATTATATACATCAAGTATATAATGATAAAGAATCACACCAATAGAAGATTTAAGATTGAAATTCAATAAGTACTTCAATTATTCAATGGAAAAAAACGTGATTGAATCCATGAAAATTTAATACAAATTAAACCAACCTCAAAACATGTTCATAAGAATAAGAAATCTAAATCTAGAACTGTTTAACAATGAAAGAACACATTTAAGCAAGAAAAGACATGAAAATTTCCAAATCTAACAGAGTTCCTTCATGGCTTCACCAATAAGTTTAGTTCTCCATGGATTTCTTGAGCCAAAAACCAAAGAAAAGTGATATATAATGAATGGTAGGCATTTTGGTCGAGATTAGGGTTTAAAAATGTGTGAAAAGCATGTTTCCATAAGTGGTTGAGTTGATCAAGGAAACAGAAATTTCAGCATCGAGGAATAACCATGCGACCACATGGTTATAAGTGTTGCGGTCACATGGTAGAAACATTTTGGCCTCTGGAATCTCCTGGAGGTGCTTGTGCGACTGCATGGCTTTATAACCATGCGGCCGCATGGTTATTGCCATTTTCTCCGTCGGAAAACTTTTAGTTTTTTAGTCATAACTTTCTCTCCTAATGTCCAATTAAGGTGATTCAAGTTGCGTTGAAAAGATAACACAAAGGACTAAAAATTTGACTCAGATATCATCTTCTAGATTGATCGTTTTCCATGTCAAAAATAGGTCCCAATATAAGGCTGAAAATCGATGCATAACTTTTTCTATTGAAAATTGATTTGTGAAGATGTTTTGGTCATATTTCACTTCTTTTGACTTCAGATTACACCCAATTGACTCCTAGATTTCTTGAATCATCATTCCATTGCCCGTCTCATTATGTATTATTTGCAACTTGGTCCTTAAACTTTCACTTTCTTTCATTTTGGTCCTTTTTTGCTCTTTTCTTCTAAATTTCAATTTTTCTACCAAGATGCTACCTGAATCAAAGTATAAGTATAATAAATTCATTTTGGTATCAAATAGTAACACGAATGCAATAATTAAGAGGGAAAAATTATGATATTTTGCACTCTTATCAGTTACCCTTTGAACCCGTGAATTACTTTTTGAGCAATGACGGGTAGAGTTGTCGTCATTGGTGGACCATTTTAATTAAGGAGTTTCAAATCCATCCTACTCGAAGTAGACACTACTAAATCTCTATTTAGAGGATTAGTCAAAGGATTCGCTAAATTCTCAATTGATCTTATATAACTTAGTGAAATTATTCCATTTTTGATTAATTTCCTTATGTAGTCATCTTTTAGACTCATATGTCTAGACTTTCCATTGTATGCTTTTGCTAATGTGACTTGACTATCACACATGATAGGTATTGAAGAAATATTCTTCGACCTCGAAAGTATTTCATAAAAGAGATCCTTAATCTACTCAGCCTCTTTCCCAGTATCTGATAGTGCTACAAATTTAGATTCCATGGTCGAGTGTGTTATGCATGTTTGTTTCTTTGATTTCCAAGAAACAGCACCCCCTTCTAGAGTAAACATCCAACTTGATATGGATTCAATTTCACCCGTGCTAGATATCCAACTAGTATCAGTAAATCCTTCTAATACCGCCGAAAATTATCATATTGTAGACCTAAGTTCTTGATTTTCTTTAAGTATCCAAGAACTCTCTTAATGGCTCTCCAATGATCATTACTTGGATTGCAAGAAAATCTACTAAGTTTACTAATTTCGTATGTTATATTTGGTCTTGTACATTGAACTGCATACATAAGACTTCAAATAGCACTAGCATATTCCAATTGAGCAATTTTCCTTCCATCATTTTTTACGAGTTTTGAACTTGGATTAATTGTGGTACTATATTCTTTAATGTTCAAGTGTTTGAATTTGTTTATCACATTCTCGATATAATGAAATTGACTTAGATGATAACCCCAACTAGTCTTTGTGATTTTGATACCCAAAATGGTATTAACATGTCCAAGATCCTTCATCTTGAATGTGGAAGATAAAAACCTCTTCGTTTCTTTTA